TCAGATGGTAGTCTAAGAAGTAAAGCAGCAAAATCAATTTATATGTTTGTGTATATGTGTGTGTGTGTGTGTGTGTGTGTGTGTGTGTGTATATATATATATTTTTTTTTTTTTAGACAGAGTCTCACTCCCTTCCCCAGTCCCCCAGGCTGGAGTGCAGTGGTATGATCTCAGCTCACTGCAACCTCCGCCTCCTGGGTTCAAGAGATTCTTTTGCTTCAGCCTCCTGAGTAGCTGGGATTACAGATACAAACCAACATGCCCAGCTAATATTTGTATTTTTAGTAGAGATGGGGTTTTGCCATGTTGGCCAGGCTGGTCTTGAACTCCTTACCTCAGGTGATCCGCCCACCTCGGCCTCCCGAAGTGCTGGGATTATGGGCGTGAGCCATTGTGCCCAGCCACATTTTTATTTTCTCTTGTAGGCATATATGTTGTTCCAAACCCCTAATGTAAACTATATGGATTGTTAAAGAGTGGGTCAGAAGGTAATGGGAGGAAGGAACTACACTATGAATTTACTCCCTGTCATAAAGAAATTATATTATAGAGCCTTTCATCCACCCAGAGATGCTGACATGACCCGAGCTGATTCTGAAATGATGGAAACAGTTTATGGTTAATAAACTTCTCGTACTTTTTGATAGGAAAGGTAATATTTCAAATTATTTTTTAATGTTAGACCTTAATAGAAATAAATGCTTATTAGGTGAAAAACATCTAAAGGAAATATTTTTAAAAACCAAATTATCTTTTTTATTTAGTTTAGTAATCATTCATTGAGCACTTACATAAGCTAAACTATGGGAATAAACAGTTGCATAATTACGAGTGATTCAGTGACTTTGATCTTGAATTTGTTGCATACATGCAGCTGTTCTACATTGTTTATTGGGTTGTATTTTGTCTTATTCCCAAAATGATTTTAGGAAATTTATGGAAGATACATTCAAAATGTAAATAAATGTAAATTATAAAATAGGAACTAAATAAAAATAGAAACATAATAACATGGAAAGTTAAGAATTAGAAGAGAAAATCAACACTAGGGGGAGAGCCAAAATAGATATTATTGACTGTAAAGGCATAAACACTTGGTAAAGATTTGTTGCATATTTGATTCTGAGCTTCTTATCAGCCATGCTGGAAAGAAAAATGCAGTCAGTTACATGATTCTTATTGTTCACAAGGGGGAAAAAAGAGTCACTCAAGGGAAAAAATACGTGCACTGGCATCTATGTAGTTTTTTAACATGAGTTTTCCTATAGGGCATACCCAGTGTGAGTGGTGAAAAGTGTTGATAGCCAATGTAATAATGTGACTTAGAAAGTTACTTCTTGAAGCATCAGAACCCTTATATTATTTTGGTGATCAAGAAAAAGATCAGAATTAGAGATGAAAATTGTGTGTGTGTGTGTGTGTGTGTGTGTATGTATGTTTTGTCTGTTTTTTAAAACCAAAAGATTGAATTTTGGAAGTAAAAAAGACAGGCGGTAGTAGAATTACTTAAGGACTTGGGGTAAAATCTTGGAGATGGCCTGCATTAAGGGTAGCAGAAGAGAAGAATCCCATAAAGATTGCTGAAATGAAAGAAATGTTAGAGGAGGAACAAAATTCTGTAGTGTCAGAAAAGGCAAACGTATCAATGAGTGTTTTAAAAAACAATCAGCCAAGGATATGAAATGTAAAGAGACCACTTCACTGTTGGTATTATCAATTCGAGTTTAATTAATGACTTTTTGAGAGTAGTTTCAATAGAATGAGAAAGGGCAGGCTTAGAAAGTAAAGTGTCAGAAATGGAAAAGTGTGTATAGACCTTTTCTTTCAAGGAGTGTAGAGGTGACAGAATTGTAGGTTGGTAGACTTGGGATAGAGGGATTGATTGACAGGCAAGGAAGGGGAATAATAGTTTCCAGAAGAGGGAGACCTAAGATGCTCAACATAGATGGGGTTCAGAGAAGAAAGAATCACTATTTTTGCTGAGCTACAAGGAAAAGACAAACAGAAATACTGAGAAACTTTGTGTTGGAAAGGAGGTGATGTGGTTTGGCTGTCTCCATCCAAATCTCATCCTGAATTGTAGTCCCCATAATCCCCATGCGAGGGACACGGTAGGAGGTATTTGAATCATGGAGGCAGTTACCTCCATGTTGTTCTCCTGATAGTGAGTTTTCACGCGATCTGATGGTTTAGTAAGGGGCTGCCCCGCACTACCCCACCCCACCCTTCACTCTGCATATCTCCTTGCTGCCACCATGTTAAGAAGGACATGTTTGCTTTCCCATCTGCCATGAGTGTAAGTTTCCTGAGGCCTCCCAAGCCATGCTGAATGGTGAGTCAATTAAACCTCTTTCCTTTAGAAATTACCCAGTCTCAGGTATGTCGTTATTAGCAATATGAGAATAGACTAATACAGGAGGAAAGCTATTTGTATTGGATGGCTTCTGAAGTGGTTCACGATTTTTGAGGTAATTTGCAAAGTGAGGTGAAATTATGTGTGGATAGGGTATCTGTTTAAGTCATGACTCTTCAGGTCAAAATACCGTGCTTAGAATATACCTTTTTGAGATTATGTAGATACCATTTTCTGTCTTTAAATATGTCAGTTCTTTGCTTTCTTAGAAATAATTTAGCTTGCCTTGCTTCCTTTACACCATCCAACTCCCACAGATGTGTTTCTTTCTCTTCTCCTTCCCTCCTTTCATTAAAAGGCCAAATGGATATATATGACAATGAAGTAAATGAGCTTTATACCAATAAGCTAAGTAGAGTATTTATGAATAGTACTTTTTAGAAAAGTGCTAGGAAAATGGTTCTTCACTATTTTCTTAAAACATTTATAGAAACTTGATGAATAATGAATGGGAATAATTTTTAATAGCCACATACTTCACTCAAATAGAACACTTGTTTATACTCCTACACAGCAGTTACATCATGGCTATATTTTACATGAGGAGTCATATATTTTTAATGTAAATGTTGCTAAAATGGTTTCATTCAATAGAGTCATAGGAATCTTGGTGTCTTAAGAGATCTCAGAGTACAAGATATCCCTGAGAGGCATTCAGCTAGACATTGCTTCACTTCTGCCTAAATTGTGCATTCCAGTGATCGTGAGCCATGCTAAAATATAGCGTAAATAAGTCATCGATAAGTTGAATAGCAAGACTAGGATCCTGTCTACATCTTGCTAATGAATATAATGCTAGACTTTTTATATATGCATAACAGATTTAATCAATGAAAATATGTGGAAACAAGTTTTATTTTACAGTTGAGTTTTGCAGTACAGTGGGAAGATTGCATTTTTAAAAGACAAAATAAGCCTTAGTATTCAGAAAAAGTAGCTAGATCAAAGCAATTTCTACGTAAACTCAAATTCCAGTCAGTATTTTAAATAGACACATCCTGACTCCCTTCACAGATTGCCACTGACCATATGGTAACTACAGACATGCCTCAAAATAAAACAGCCATATGTAGATTTTCAAATACTGACCTCATCCCTAGAGAGCCATATTTATCTAGAAGAGCATCTCAAGCCATATCAAGTAGAATTATGGTTTGTGTCATGTTTGAAGATTGGAAGAATCAGCCTAATGAAAAACAATCACAAGTTAAAAGCAAAATGCCAAGGAAAATAAGGTTAGATACACACAGACATTTGAAACAAAGGTATCTGGAGACGTCTCTTTCGAATTCTCCTTGCCCAGTCCTTATACACAGTAGGAAAACACATAAAAGTAGCCTTAAAATCTATCCAGTGCTATGGCCATCAGAATGGATTTAGGGGAATGCTTAAGGGCTGATCAATAGAAGTGCTTTTCATGTGTATTTCTTCTCAGACTAGCAGTCACTGGATGCAAATATTTTCTGTCTGCTGGATGTGCTAATTGAATACCAATATTATTTTTTTCTGATTTCTGTTGTAAAATTTCTAGAGCAGAACATGTGGAACTCACTTCCATGGTTTCCTGCTGTTAATCGTTCTCTATTGAAATTCTGCCAGTTTTCCAGAACATTTTGCTTTGTGGGCATGTGTCTGTGAATTAGAAACATGGAAGAAGGAAAGAATTGTTGCAGGAATTTGGAACAAATATATTTATATATTCAGTGGCACCTCACTTCGCTTATCAAAATAGGGGTGGAGAAGGGCCAGAAAAGGGGATTCAGGAAGTAAAGGTCTACATGTAATAAAAAGATTCTGTAATAGTGATCATTGTAACTACAAAACCTTTCTCTCTCACTCTGTATTTATATATTTATACATATACACACTTCTCTGTCTCTCTCTGCACACACATACCCCACCTCTCTATCACTCTCTCTATATATATACACATCTCTACATACATATGCATACATATTTTATATTTACATATGTGCGTGTATATCATACCATATATATTATATGAGAGAAAAAGATTTTAATGACCTCCTTGTGGACAGTTAAGCCCTGTTTCCCATAGGTGTAGTGTTATGCTAGCAGATCTCTCATGTCCAAGTTTTGTTTAAATCTGAGCACTCAGGGATATGCCAGTGCCTAAAATTAATAATGTTAATCATTCCTAAATGTTCTTTAAGAGCTTTTTTTTTTTTTTTCCTTTGCATTCCTTTTAATGTAGCAGTATTTCATTGGATTTGGTTCAGTGACTGTGTTTCAGACATAGTGATATATCATAGGTTTGCCTTCAAATCAAATACAGTTATGATCCTGAAGGAAATTACCCTGATAGGCCAAAAACTCTGAAAATTGTACTTACCCTAAAAGGTCACTGATATTTCTGAACTAATCTTTATAATACATGAATAAACCTAAACGTTGTCTTTTACAAAGCAAGGCCTCTCGCTGGTGTATATCACTGGGTATATAAGTAGAAATATATAAAATTTGTTTTTGAAGTGTTATTTTTGTTTCTTGGTACGTAAATTAGATTACTTTATTCTAAGTCAGATTTGTAAGTAGTTTTTTTGTTTTGTTTTGTTTTGTTTTGTTCTCTTACAAATCACATATATTTACATTGTGGATCTGGGATACACTTATCACAGTAGGAGCTGCTCAAATCAATCTGAATGCTACCCAATCTGGGAACCTCCCCATAACTGTTTGAGCCAGCATTTCAGATTATAGATAAGCTGTTTCCAGCCAGACTGGCTTTGGAAAGTTCACTCTAAAGAATGAAGTCACCTGTTGTCACTATCCTCCTGCCCAGGATTCCTTTTGGGGCCAGGTACCATCCTGTGGCTCGTTAAGGAGGCTTCCCTCTTTAATTCTCCATGAGACTTCCAGGGTGGTCTGGGCTATGGGGAGAACTCTTCAACTTGGGAGTAGACAGGTGCTCCAACTCATAGTGCCCATTTTCAGAGGCCGTGTGTGTGAGTTTCTCCTTCATGCCTTCCTTCTGGCTCTTTTTGTGCTCCGTAATCTGCTGGAGCTGGTGCCCAGCATAGTCTGGCTTGATGGTCAGCGGCCCAGCTGGCACAGCTACACCAAGGACATCTGACACCATGTAGGGGCGCAGCCAGCCCACCAAGGGAGTGCTTCCGGGGCTGTAGTGGGTCTGCTTGTGGTAGAAGAGAAGTCCATCTACCTCAAAAGGGAAATCCATAGATAGCACATCACACAGGCTTTCGGGAGTGCAAGGGAAATTATTTAGCCCCACAAATTTAAAAGGATTGAGCTTGGTTTTCTCTCCCAGTCCTTCTTCTTCTGGTAACTTTGAATGCATCCAGTAGAATCGGAAATCAGTCTGGCAATCATAAAAAGGGTGTCCCCGCCAGCACATCACATCCAGATCGTAGTAGGTCTGGTTTACCTCACTGTAAATGCAATCTAGAATGGTGTAGTCTTTTGCTGTTGAGTTTCGCCTATTGCCTCCTGGCAGAAGGGAAGAAAACCTGTTGACACAGTAGCCACTCTTGGTGTAGGCACTGGTAGAACCCCTGGAGGCCACGATAAGAGCTCTTTTTCCAACAGGGCACACGACCACAATCCATTCCCGCCCCAAATCTGAAGGAACGTCAATTAACCACTCAGAAAGCATCAATTGATTAGCATAGCGTTTTGGTAACTTCTTGACAGTGTCAATGTCCATTTCTTCATCATCTTTCTTATCTTCTTCCTCACTCTCCATCCCTGTCCAGTCATCTTCAGCCAGTCTTCTGGCATGGTTCACATAATCCAGCCGCTTGGATTTCTGCAGTTCCAGTAACCGCCGGCGGCGCTCACTCTGCTCCAAGGAACTGTACTTGCACTTGTACTGGGATAGGTGGGGGTGTGGGGCAGCTTTGCTGTTCAGATCTTGAGACACAGAAAAGCTACTAGCCAGGGCTTGACTCAACTCTTCCATCTTCCCCAAACCGAGGTGACCGTCGCACGCTGTAAGTAGTTTTTAAAAGTCATTTGAACCTATTCAGATTACTCAGGCTCTTTCACTGTATTATCTCATTTTGTACTCTTCAGTCTTGCTAAATGTAACAAGATGAGTCTTTAACAGAAAACCTTAAAATGTTTTCTGCAATAAAAAGATCAATTCTTCATAGAAATCCAATAGCATTGTAAAATTAAAACTAATGTTTCAGCTTAAAGTCCATAAACTTGCTTTTCAATATTAATTCATTTCTGGTATTGATCTCATAAGGGAGTGTTTAGTTACCAACTGCTTTAGGCCATAAAATGTTTTGGGGCAAAGAAAATTAAAGGGATTGTTTTGGTATTATGGTGCTCTTAACAGATTTTTCAGGAATAAATGAAACTGTGTTAGTTAGCTGACATATTTTCTGTTATTCGAGTTGTATTTAATTGGAAAATATTGTATCTTGTCATTTGTATCTGATCGTTTTATTGGATAATTTTTTTCTGAAAATTTGTAAAATAAGACAAGAAGACTAAATGGCTTATCTAATAATGTTTTTCTCCCCCCCATAGAAATCTAGATTTTGACCCATACTTGGTGTGTAGATCAGCCTTTCCACTAAGGTTCTCAGAGGTGGCTGGCCTTCTTTACTAACTGAAAGCAGATTCAGCAGCCTCTCGTAGCTTTCATGGAAAGAGTTTAATTGCCCAAGATAGCCTATGTGTATGTCAGCCCTAAGAAGAGAGATTTGTTTTATTTATATGCTATGATATAGGATATGATGAGATTGTCTTTGTGAGAAAAATAGATCCTAAGATCCAGCATTTACCTTGTGACTTCCAGGACCCTGTGCACCAACCTTCTTGCATATGGTGACCAAATTCATGTATGCATCTCCCTTGTAGGCTCTGTCAGTTATATTCATGACATGGTAAAGATAGCTTCAAATCTCAAGGGCCCTAGCATAGCTAAACAAATGGAAGATATGGTTATATGTCCTCCTCCTTTTCCTACAGCATTTACATTCTTCCATAACCATTTATGCTTCTTAACCTGTTTTAGGAATGGTACCTTTATAATTAGGTAAAAGATGAGAGACTGGAAAATCCATACTTTGAATTAACTCTTCTCTTCCATGAACGTAATGCTTTACTTCCTACCACATTTTGGAGAACTTAGCACTACCCTTTTTTATAGAACATCTTTACTCTCTCTTTATTTAATGACTACCACTGGTATTTTTTCATATGTAAATTCAGTGGTTTTTCTTTTTCCTTTTTTAGTGGTACAGGTAATAGAAGAATAGGGAAAGAAAGTTGAGGGCGGGACAAGAACTACTTTTAAATTGGAGAATACATTTACAGCCTCATATATTCAGTTCATTTTTATATATAGTTCTGGGATATTTTTGGAATAATTATGATTTTCTGAGAATCATGCTGACAGAAAACATCATTTCTTTCTTTTAAGATGTTACATTTCAAGGTACCCCCTTATGTTTGCAGTAGTCATACTTCTGGAATCTGGGGGACAATTGCAATTTTTTTTAAAGTTACTCTGCCCCAACATAAGATCATAGGCCATTTAATTCAGGCTGAGTTTTATTTTTTTTTGATACCTTTATTTATGATTACTGTTATATATAAAGCCAAATATAGCATGACTTATACATGGTTAGGTTTTCACCTTAATTCTCATTAGTACCTATTTGTTGAATATCTGAATCTAAAAAGGGAACATGCTAATAGAATATTACTCAATATCCATATAAAACTTAAATATCTATACAAATGGACAGTTTCTTTAACCAAGCAGATGATTAATGTTTAGGAGCGTAGTTCATCTCAAAATGCTCTGATATATAGAGATTCAAGAATACTTGATTCTTGGGAACCTACATGTGATCTAAAATGAAGGCAGGGGAATGGAATAACTCTGATTTATCTGTAGTTGTATGAATAGTTTGGCAGTACATATCTTGATTGAACTTGATAGAACTGTCATTTATTACGGTAGCCTGTTGTCTAGGTCTTATTGATTTATCCCTAGTGGATTGTTAGTCATCTGTGTAGGAGCGTTAACTATGAAAGAAAGAAATTATAAGTATAGAATGCATTTATTCTTTATGTTAATGAATCTATTTGAAATATTTTATAGAATCTTAAACGTGAAGGGTAATTGTTTATTTGATTACAGAGAAGGAAAACGTATACAATGTATTGGCTATTTTTAATGTAAAACTTTGAAATTGTATTCAGCTATGGAGAAATTCTACTAGAGAGCTTATGGATGAAATCATAGCATCAGTAGTTGAATTAATGTGGGATATACTTCTCATGTATTTCCACCTTTAATTATGAAAACACCTGTAGCTCAGAGAAGGTAAGGAACCTGCACAACATCACACAGCTTCTAAATAGCCAAGAGAGAATCAAAGCTGAGCCTCCCTGATTTGGAGTAATTGTGCTATTCAACACTGCGTATGGTTTTATAGTCTTTAGCAGATGCAAGTCATATATAATCTTTTTTTCCTTGCATATAATATCTATTGAAATACCGGGTAGGTGAGAAAACTTTATTATATCACTAAGAATGAGAGCATATTGTAAAAATACTGCCAGAATACCATCAGTCGAGAGTGTCTGTCCTTTCATTTAAAAGTGGCTTTGTTTATGGACAATGCTAACAATATGGCTATTTAAGAAAATTATATGGACACGGGGAAGGGAACAACACACACTGGAGCCTTCCCTGGGGTCAGGGGAAGGGAGAGCATCAGGATAAATAACTAATGCATCTGGGGCTTAATGCCTAGGTGATGGGTTGATAGGTACAGCAAACTACCATGGCATGCATTTACCTGTGTAACAAACCTGCACGTACTGCACATGTATCCTGGAACTTCAAATAAAATAAAATTTTTTAAAAAAGAAAATTATTTATTTAGAAAGGATACTTACCCTTTTTAAATAAAAGTTTTCTAGAACAGTAATTCTTCATAAGTTTTTCCTCAGCAACATATCACACTCCCGTGACTGTTAAGAAGTCTGAACTTCTTCTAGTTGAGAATCGCTGAGGAATGCATTTTATGTCTGCTTCATTTATGTAGATACTTTTGACAAAGAAAATATCTTAGAATTTAGAAAGAATTCTTGATAGTAACAGAAATTGGTTTTTGAAAATAGTATTTTAGTAGGTATTAAGACCTATAATCATCTCCTCTTCTAAGTAGATAAAAATCTTTAGCAACCTGGAATAATAATGACTAGATGAACACATTCGTTGCATACTGGCCCTAATGTACCATGATCAGCTTACAAGCACGCATCTATAGACAACTGGCCCATCGCAACATCTTGGCAAATTGTTTGCCTTGGAGGATTTCAGAATGTATTGGCGTAAATGCCAGACTGTGAAGGAATGATTGAACCACATGGGGTTGAATTTATCAATAGCAGCAGTCCATTCTTTCAGACAGAACATGTGCCAAGCACCAGCTTGTAATCACAAACAGCATCTGCTGCATATTGAAGAGGAAAACAGCATGGGTGTGCTCAGGATCTTAGTGGTAGTTTATAATTAATCACAACATTGTTTAGCAACTTGGAGTGTACTCAAATTGCTTCATCCTTGAGTTCTCAGTACCCATACTTGCTCTGGTATTTCTCTTTTTTTCCTCTTCTTTCCTTCTTTTATTTCTCATATTCATCAAGTAAATATTTACTGAGTGGCCTCTATGTACACGATCCTGAACTAAGTACAGTGGGAAGTAAAATGATAAAGTAGGCAAAGCCTGAACTACACACCTGACATAATCCAACACAGAGATCATAATTCAGTATGGAATAGAGATCAGGGACCTAGTCCACGAAACAAATTAGCCAGGAGCGAGAGCCTAGTCCAGTCCTTCAGAATTGCAAGGATGGATTCCCAAGCAGAAGGAACATTGTTTAAGAGACAAAATTGTAACAATATGGGACTTCTTTGAGTAAAACCTATTACCCAAAGATCGCTGAAGCATTGCCTATTGGAGAAGAGGTAGTATGAAACAAATCTTTTCAGGTAGGCTGGGCAGGAGTGTCCCCTTCATGAAATAGGCCCTAATGGTTCTGTTATCAATGGTTTTGAACAGATAAGTGGAGGGCTCAGTGGAGTGCTTTAGCCGACAGGTGGCAGCAATGTGGAGGTGTGATGGATTGGATTCCGTAGAGACTGGGGATGTTGAGACCACATTTTAGGCTTTTTATGGAACACATAAGTAGTATGTGCCAAGAAGCTTATTACCTCTAATCCTCAAATGGATAGTATTACTCTTAAGTCCATTTTACTGAATGGAGACTTACAGAATCTCACAGTGGCTACATGGTAGGGTGGTATGTTAACACTGGTCTGTGTGAACACTTTCCACAGCCATGCACTGTCCTCTGGGAGAAGGATGCCAGCCAACCAGGCAGTGGACAGGCAGAGAGGTGCAGGTGCAGAACAGAAGAAATCTTTCCAATGTTTTATGGAAAGAGGTTAGGCTCACATACATGAATTCTGATGAAAACTTGGCACTGTATTAGATTCAGGATATGCGAAGAGAGAAGGAGCACTCAAAAGCCATGAATCTTGATTTACTTTGAAATTAGATAACACGGGGTAAAGAACAAGTCTGGGGTGAGAAATGAGGACTTCTGTTTTGTATGTACCTGAGTGGCGTACTTCTTGTGGGTCCTTTCTTATGCCTTAATCTCATAATACTCTTTATGTACCTCCATTGGAGCACTTACACCATTGTGGCATAACTTGTTTTATTTTGGTCGATGACCCCATCCCGGTATTACAAGCTCCTCAGGGACTGGGCCTTCTCACGTTTCTGTCCCTAGCATGGAGTAAGTTCATGGGAAGCGCTTCAGGTATGAGAAGGAACTAGAGGATTCTTGGCCAGAGAGAGAGGAGAAATCAATGGAAGTCCAAGGAGGAGGAATGCTTAAAATGGATGTTGTGAGAACATGATTGGGAGCCAGTTAGAGATGAGTGAAAGGCTCCCCTGACAGCACGCAGGACCTGACATGCTGACTTTGTCCCAAAATGAGTATGGCTCATTTTTGTAATTATTCTAAAACAATGCTCAACTCCCTGGATGTGGAAATGGAGAAAGAGGTAGGCTGAAATGAGTGGCTTGAAGTAGATACCTCTAGAACTGAGGGTGGATATAGTGGCAGGTGGGACCATGAAAACAATGAAGAAAATGAAGTGGAGGAATTGCAGTCGTAAGGAGCACAGAGTATGTTTCTTACTATAGCTTGGAAGTGTTTTAGTTTTGTTTTGTGTTACTCCTACTGTTCATAAGTTGTTGATTTTTTTATGCTAAGAAAAATCAGCTTATTTAAGTGGACATACAAAATATCTTGGCATTTGTGGCATGAACAGGATGTTGGCCCAAGTTCTCTCTCTAAACACTTACTAGTTTGTGACCTTGGAAGAGTTATCGAATCCCTCTGCATTTAGTTTCCTCTTTTCTAAGATGGGAATAGCAACACGTGCTCTCTCTGACTTCACAGGACTCTGATGATGATAGGAAATTGTTCATAAGGCAAGAAGAGTTATTGAAGTATTAGATAATTCATTGAGATTTGAGCAGATGCTTAATACTCTTGGTGATTGTGTGAGAATGGCCTCCTCTGGTTGCATTCAGGAAAGGACCGTGGTATTGGGGGATCTTGCTGTGCTTGATTGTAGCCCAATTATAGGACCCTAAATTGAGGAGTGGGGAGAATAATATTTGAAGCTGAGCAGTGATTATCTTGCTCTCAGTGAGGCCCCTGCTTTCTCCACAGAGGCAGCTTTACTTTGT